TTCTAAAGTCCAACAAACACATCATAAGAAAAGAAATATACAGACCAATATTTCTAATGAATATAGATGCAAAAATCCTCAACTCAAAATACTAGCAAACAAAATCCAGAAAAGTATGAAATGGATTATACAGCATGACCAATGGCAATTTATCCCAGAAATGCAAGGTTGGTTTAACATATGAAAATCAATCAATAAAATTCATATGATTATTTCAGTAGCTGAAAAAAAGCATTTGAAAAAATCCAGTACACTTTTTTTAAATCCTCACCTGAATATATTTTTCTATTGATTTTTAGAGAGAGTGGAAGAGAGGGAGAGAGGAGAGAGAAACATCAGTGTGAGAGAGACAAATCAATTGGTTGCCTAACTCAGGAGATTTGACCTGGGCTGGCGATCAGGGGTGGGGATTGAACCTGCAACTGAGGTATGTGCCCTTGACTGGCATCAAATCTGGGACCCTTCAGTCTGCGGGCAGAGGCTCTATCCACTGAGCCAAACCAGCTAGGGCAGATAGAAACATTGATGATAGAGAAACATCAATTGGCTGCCTACTGCATGCCCTCTACTGGGGATCAAGTCTGCAACCCGGGTATATGCCTTGACTGGGAATAGAACCAGCAACCTCTTTGTGTATGAGACAATGCTCAATCTACTGAGCCATGCAGGCCAGACACTTTCATTATGAATACACATAACACATTAGGAATGGATAGAAGGGAACATTCTCAATGTAATGAAAACCATCTATGTAAAAAAACATAGATGGTGAAAAACTGGGTGCTTTACCCCCCTAAGATCAGGGATAAACTAAGAATGTGTGCTTTCACAAGTTATATTCAATATTGCCCTGGAGGTTCTAGCCAGGGTAATTAGACAAGGAAAATAAACAAAAGAAACAAAAATTAGAAAGGAAGAAGTAAAATTATATCTATTCTCAGATGAAATGATCCTGTATATAGAAAATCCTAAGTAATCCACTAAAAATCATTAAAATTAATAAATGAGTTCAGCTAGGTTGCAAGATACAAGGTCAAAATAGAAAAATCATTTGTATTTCTATACATTGACAATGATATCCAAAAATAAAATTATGAAAACAATTCCATTTATAATATTATCAAAACAATAAAAATAATCAGGAATATATTTTACAAAGCCACTAAGACTTGTATACTGATAACTATAAAATATCATCAAAATAAATTAAAGATGACCTAACTCGATGTAACATTATCTCATGTTCATGAACTAGAAAACTTAATATTGCTAAAGTAGCAATACTATCCAAACTAATCATTGGTTCAACACAATCTCTATCAAAATCCTAACTGGCTTTTGTGCAGAAATTGACAAGCTGAACCTCAAATTCACATAGAAATGCAAGATTAGCCAAAATAGTCCTCGTGACCTTGGATTTGGCAATATATGCTGAGGTATGACACCAAAAGCACAAGCAACAACAAAAAATGAAGCTGGATTTCATCAAAATTAAATAATTTTGTACTTCAACGGATATCATCAAAGAAGTGAAAATAAAAACAAAACAACAAGAAAGCACACTGCATGGGAGAACATATTTGCCAATGTTATCTCTGATAAGGGTTTAATCCCCAACATTTACAGGGAACTCATGCAAAGGAAAATAAACAATCCAATCAAAAAATGGGCAAAGGACCTAAATAGACACTTTTCGAAAGAGGACATACAAAAGGTCAAGAGACATTGAAAACATGCTCAAAGTCACTAATCATCTGAGAGATGCAAATCAAAACAACAATGAGGTACCATCTCACACCTGTCAGAATGGCTATCATCAACAAATCAACAAACGACAAGTGCTGGAGAGGATGTGGAGAAAAAGGAACACTTGTGCACTGCTGGTGGGAATGCAGACTGGTGCAGCCACTATGGAAGACAGTATGGAGTTTCCTCAAAAAACTAAAAATGGAACTCCCATTTGACCCTGTGATCCCACTTCTAGGAATATATCCCAAGAAACCAGAAACACCAATCAGAAAGGATATATGCACCCATATGTTCATAGCAGCACAATTCACCATAGCTAAGATCTGGAAACAGCCTAAGTGCCCATCAGTAGATGAATGGATTAGAAAACTGTGGTACATCTACACAATGGAATACTATGCTGCTGTAAAAAAGAAGGAACTCTTACCATTTGCAACAGCATGGATGGAACTGGAGAGCATTATGCTAAGTGAAATAAGCCAGTCAATGAAGGAAAAATACCACATGATCTCACTCATTCATGGATAATAAAGACCATTACAAACTTTTGAACAATAATAGATACAGAGGCAGAGCTGCCTCAAACTGATTGTCAAACTGCAGTGGGAAGGCCAGAGAGGGTTGGGGGGCAGAAGGGAGGGGAGTAAGAGATCAACCGAAGGACTTGTATGCATCCATATAAGCATAACCAATGGAGGGAAAAAAAGGAGACATATGTACTACTCTTTGTAATACTTTAAGTAATAAAAGAAAATAAAAAAGTGAAAATACAAACCACAGAATGGGGAAAATATTTGCATATTATATATCTGAAAAAGGTCTAGTATCCAGAATACATAAAGAACTCTTACAACTCAACAAAAGAAAGCAAATAACCCAGTTAAAATATAGCCAAATAATTTGAATAGACATTTCTCTAAAAAAGATAAGGAAATGGCCAATAAGTAAATACAAAGATGTTCAACATCATCCATAATAAGGAAAATGCAAATTAAAGTCACAATGAGCTACTACTTCACACTCACTAGGATAGATATAATTTAAAAAATGGAAAGTGAGTATTGGTGAAGATTTGGGGAAATTGGAACATTGGTACATTGTTGTTGGGTATGTAAAATGATGCAGTCACTTTGGAAAATAGCCTGGCAGTTCCTCAAAGTCTTAACCATTTGACCCAGCAATTCTGCACCTAGATACATACTCAAAAAAATTGTACTTCAACGGATATCATCAAAGAAGTGAAAATAAAAACAAAACAACAAGAAAGCACACTGCATGGGAGAACATATTTGCCAATGTTATCTCTGATAAGGGTTTAATCCCCAACATTGGCCACATAGCTCGGTTGGTTAGTGCATCATCCTGATACACCAAGTTTGCAGGTTTGATCCCTGGTCAGAACACATACAAGAATCAACCAAAGAATGAATAAACAAGTGGAACAACAAATTGATGTCTCTCTCTCCCTCAAGTCAATTTTTCAAACTATATATGCATACAAAAATGTGTACACAAATATTCATAGCAGTATTATTAATAATAGTGTAAATGTGGAAAACTCCATCTATCTACTGACGAGTAGATAAATAAAATGTGTTATAGCCATACAGTGAAATATTAGTCAGCCATGAAAATCAAAATTACTGATACATGCTACAATGTGTATGAACTTTGAAAACATTATGCTAAGTAAAAGAAGCCAAACACAAAAAGCCACATATTATATGATTCCATTTATATGTAATGTCCAGAATAAGCAAATCTATATAGACAGTGGTTGTTGGGGGTTAGGCACAGGGGGGAATTGAGAGTGACTGCTAATGGGTAGGAGATTTCTTTTGGGGTCATAAAAATATTCTGAAATTGAATAGTGGTGATGATTGCACAACCTTGTGAATATACCAGAAATCATTAATTATACACTCTAAAAAGAAAAATTTTATGGTATGGGAATTATATATCAACTAGAGGCCAGGTGTATGAAATTTGTACACGGGTGGGGTCCCTCTGCCTGGCCAGCGATTTGGGCCGATCAGGGCCATCTTGCCCAGTCCCAATCGGGACAGATCGGGGCAGTTGGCTGGGAGGGACCACGGGAGGGACCGAGGGAGTGGTCCAGGGTGTGTCTGGCCCCATCTTGCCCAGTCCCGATCGGACGGACCCCAGCAGCAAGCTAACCTACCAGTCGGAGCATCTGCCCCCTGGTGGTCAGTGCACATCATAGCGACCAGTTGGTTGACCTCTCAATCAGACACTTAGCATATTAGGCTTTTATATATATAGATTGTAACTCACGGTGCGGAATGCTTGGCACACACTTTCCCTCCAGCCCCTGGTCTTGGAGACCTCATGTCCTTCCCAGGCTCTGCTCACCTTCTTCAGCTGCCACACGAAGTAAATTGCATCGTGTGCATGGAAACCCTTTACAGGCTCCATGGGTGTGTATTTATTTTGCTGCAGTTCCAATTACCCCAACATAAGGAGAGACACCCTCATTATCAGGTAACACCATTGTGGTAAGACCCCTGCTCAGCCTACTGCAGCGGTTTTAAATAGGCCATGGGTCACCCTAGACATTTTCCTTCTTATTCTCTTCCATCATGGTAAGTTAGAAAAATATTTTTAAGTCTTCCAATTAGAGCCCAATCTATTCCTTATTCACAATAGTAAATTTAAGCCATTCTCATTGAGAGCTGGCAATCATAGAAGAGTCAAGAGCTATTTCTGTCACTCCTTCTAATACTTAACAGTTACTGCCAAAGTAACAATGCCTGTAACATGCCAGTAACAATTCCCAATATTCAACCTGGGTTCCTAATGCATGATGAAAACCAAATTACCCTTTGTTATATCCTCAGTGGAGAATAAGAAGAGATACTGTTGATTTGTATTTGAAAAAAGTGCCTAGAACAATATATTAATAGGAAGTAGGATTTATTCAGAGGATGACAGATCAACAGTCTCCAAGCATTTGAAATCCCATTGTAGATAGGGTTGCCCCAAACTGGTAATAAGACTCTGGGTAAAATTATACGAAGAGTGTGGAGAGACATAGTCAAGGAAGTGGAATTTATGTTTACTCCTTGTGAGTTAGCAAGGCCAGATAATCTGGCCAAGCCACCACATCTCACAAGCTATCACAGTGAGAGAGACTCAGGCAAGCACCACTAGCAAGCAGAGGCCCATTCAAGATGTAAAGCACTTTGAAAAACAGATGAACCACCATTGCCATCCTGCCCAGGCCACCTTACCTAACTGAAATTGATTGGAGATATTCCCACATGTTTGCATTACTTCCGGGCTATTCCATCCTAAGGGGTATAATGCACAGCCTGAGCTTATCAGCAGCCCTAGAAAGAAAAACATACACACAGGTAGAAAAAATAAAATAGGTCTTGTGTCACTCCAATATTCCCTCTAGATTTTCTCAGCTCAAATTCTGCATTTTCCACTCAGAGTTTACCTCTCCCCTTTTACCCTAAATGTCTATAATACTACCCAAATCAAAAGGGTATCTTTGCCATGCCATAAGTGGCGAGTTGTAGAGGGGACAACTTATAAAAGGCAGTATTGGGAATTGAGACAAGGCAATGTAATTTTTACAGCCGAAATATTTTTGACAATGATTTACAAAGCAAAGTTGGCCTCTCCAACCAGAATCCTCTTCTATCTTGGTCTGATTTACAAAGAGTCACAATATAGAGACTAATATTGTTTCCTAAAAATTCAGCCTTTTCTAACAATCAATTAGGTCCCTAGGAATTGAAGGTAGGTCATGATTTCTGTAACTTGGAACCAGCTGCCAGACTAGATCTACACAAAGCATGCATGTTGCATAGGCTTCTCCTGGTGAGCAGGCACCACACTCCCTCTTCCAGAAACGATTACTTCATCTGAGAAATCATTCCAAATTCATGCTAAACATGCCTCCTTTCTTTTTTTAAAAAAAATATATATATATTATTTGCATGCATACAAGTCCTTTGGTTGATCTCTTACCCCCACCCCCAGCCCTCCCATGCCTTCCCACTGAAGTTTGACAGTCTGTTTGATGCTTCTTTGTGTCTGTAGTGGGTGTGGCTGGGGGGAGGTCAATGGGGGAAAAGGGAGACATATGTAATACTATATGTAATATTTTAAACAATAAAATAAAACTTAAAAAATATAAAGTCAAATCTAAAGCTGAAAAAAAAACCTCCTCATGGTCAGTATATTAATGTGTAAGTATTAAACACTGAGCTTAACTGTTTATAAAAACTTGAGCGCCAAAAAGACCACTTCCATATCATACTCCTTTATTGTTTTTGTTTCTTTTTTATGTATATTTTATTGAATTTATTGGGGTTATATATATATAAAACCTAAGCAACCAGCCAACTGGCCGACTGGCCAACCAGTAGCTATGATGTGCACTGTCTACCAGGGGGCAGACACTCAATGCAGGAGTGGAAACCACAGGCATAGAAACATGGAACAAACTGATGAATCTCAGAGGAAAGGGGTGAGGGGGGAGGGCAGGAAGGATTAACCAAAGATCTTATATGCATACTAGAGTCCCGGTGCACAGATTCATGCACTGGTGGGATCCCTCAGCCTGGCCTGTGCCCTCTGGCAATCCTAAACCCCTCAGGGGATGTCGGAGAGCCAATTTCACCCTGATCCCCGCAGGCCAGGCCGAAGGACCCCACCGGTGAATGATCATGCACTGGGCCTCTAGTTGGTTAATAAAATTATATAGGTTTCAAGTGTAATATATATATATATTCGCTGGGTGCTACCTGCAGGCCATGCTTGCCTGCTGGGCTCACGTTGCTGGGGCGCCGCCACCAGCGTCACACCCGGGCCACTATGGGTGCCGCCATCTTTTGTCATGGAGTGATGGTTAATTTGAATTTTGCTCTTTTTTTAGATAGGATTTTTTCAATATATTTTATTGATTTTTACACAGAGGAAGGGAGAGGGCTAGAAAGTTAGAAACATCGATGACAGAGAAACATGGATCAGCTGCCTTCTGTATGCCCCCTATTGGGGATCAAGCCCACAATCAAGGTACATGCCCTTGACTGGAATCGAACCTGGGACCCTTCAGTCCTAGGGCATATGCTCTATCCACTGAGCCAAACTGGTTAGGGCTATGCCTCCTTTCTTTATCTTCCCATACCTTCCACTGTGTCCCTTGTCTTCATCTCCACTTTGTTTAGTTCATTTAGTCACTACAGGGAAACTTTGTGAGATCTTACTGATAACCTTACTCTTCCAATCAGAAATACCAATCTGGTACTTGTGAGCACTGCCTTCTAAGTAAGGGTAAGTGCAAAATCCACAGGTCTTGCTGCTGCCTAGGTTTACATTTTATAACTTCTGACCTCCCCATACCATGCCTGTGGTGACAGTGAATTGGACCTAGTATTGGCATCTGATACAAAACAATAAAATTTATTGGCTGGCCAGTAATCGGTGACATCATAACCTGGCATGTAGACATGATCTGGACCAGACTCTTGTTTCTGAAAGTTTTAATCAAGAAACATAGAAATGCTATATTAGAAGAAGAAGAAGAAGAAGAAGAAGAAGAAGAAGAAGAAGAAGAAGAAGAAGAAGAAGAAGAAGAAGAAGAAGAAGAAGAAGAAGAAGAAGAAGAAGAAGAAGAAGAAGAAGAAGAAGAAGAAGAAGAAGAAGAAGAAGAAGAAGAAGAAGAAGAAGAAGAAGAAGAAGAAGAAGAAGAAGAAGAAGAAGAAGAAGAAGAAGAAGAAGAAGAAGAAGAAGAAGAAGAAGAAGAAGAAGAAGAAGAAGAAGAAGAAGAAGAAGAAGAAGAAGAAGAAGAAGAAGAAGAAGAAGAAGAAGAAGAAGAAGAAGAAGAAGAAGAAGAAGAAGAAGAAGAAGAAGAAGAAGAAGAAGAAGAAGAAGAAGAAGAAGAAGAAGAAGAAGAAGAAGAAGAAGAAGAAGAAGAAGAAGAAGAAGAAGAAGAAGAAGAAGAAGAAGAAGAAGAAGAAGAAGAAGAAGAAGAAGAAGAAGAAGAAGAAGAAGAAGAAGAAGAAGAAGAAGAAGAAGAAGAAGAAGAAGAAGAAGAAGAAGAAGAAGAAGAAGAAGAAGAAGAAGAAGAAGAAGAAAGAGGAGGAGGAGGAAGAGGAGGAGGAGGAGGAGGAGGAGGAGGAGAAGAAGAAATGCTAAGTTAGTTAGCAGATACAGAAGAAGTTGAGAAAAAGATACCAGGAGGTAGAATCAAGTCTGTGTCAAGCTGAAGCCAAGTTCAATCTAAAGTTATGAGTAGGTATAACATCTTGGCAATCTGAGAAAACTGATTGATAGAGGGAGAAAATACAGTAACATGAAACAGACATACCATGAAGAAAAACTCCATACTGCCCATGAAAGAGCTAGAGAGAATCCAGTGCTTCCCAATGGCTTTTGAGTTCAAATTTCCTTATGTTATAATAAATTCCCTTTTCACTGAGAGATCTCAAGTGAGTATCCTACTTTCACCCAGAGAGCATGATACTTGAGTGCTACACCAAAGGTCATGGAGTGGTCACCTGCCACAAATATGGATGCAGAAACTAACATTTAACATAGAACCTCTGGAAAGCAGGTATTTGATTAATGATGAATGAAGGGCATATTTTTAGGTTCCAGAGCTTTGGGGCTCAGCTGGACAGTGAAGTCCATACTGCTTCAGGGATTCCTTAATGAGGAAAAGTCTATATATACTCTAAGAAGATAATAAGTTAATTTTGCCTTCCGATGAAGACTTTTGAAAGAAAATCACAAAGTACTCTCTAAGCTTGTCTGCAACAAGGCTATCAGATTTTTGTACTCAGAGAAAAAGACAAGGATTTGAATAAATAGCAAGAAGCATTTTCACAGGAAAACAGAGAGAACATTCTGACAGTGAGATGGTTTAGAAACTTAGAAAATGATCAGTTAAGGTTAGAAATTCCCTTCAGTAGAATGCTTAAGTTAGAAGGCATTCTTATCTGTCTCATAGTCTTAAAGGAAATGGAAGTGTGTGTGTGTGTGTGTGTGTGTGTGTGTGTGTGTGTGTGTGTGTGTTATACCACAGATAAACTGAATTCCTATAATATGAAGAAATATGAGCCAGAGTGTATGAGCTCAGGATTTGCACAATGGGTTAAGGACAAAATTGGGTATGAAAACTAAGCCTTTTCCTCCTTCCAGTGTATGCTTTTTAAGGGAAGAGTTAATAAAAAGTGAGCTTTCTCACACAGACTAGGAAGAACAGCACCCAAATTTATAAAAATAACCATAGTTCAGCTTTCCAACCTCCACATTCAGATCCCTGGGACTGGCATGGACTCTGACTTTTCAAGCAGGAGGTAGTGCTGGCCAAATGCCTTTCTTGATATGTCAGTGGGGGAACATTCCACCTTCTTCAGTCCCCTTGCTCTTCAGACCTTACCATGCGGAGGAGCTCATGTCAGGGAATACCTCCTCCAGGAAGCTTTTCCTCACCATCCCCACCCCCCAGGCAAAGTTACGTATTCTCTCTCTCTCTCTCTCTTTCTCTTTTCCCATATCAATCTGTGCTTACTCCTGTAATTAAAATATACTGTGATCTATATTTTTAGAACACTTTGTTGTCTGTGTCCCTCAATGGAGTGTGTGGTCCTTGAAGGGATGAGCCATATTTATTCTCAACTATGTATCTTTGGTACCTGTTATATAATAGGTGCTCAATAAATGCATCTGTTTCACAGTATGCTCTGCCTACCTTGCACACAGCTTCCTTCACCTGCGCTACCCAAACAGGAGGACTTCTGAAGGGATCTCTGTGAAAGATGATTCTAAATAGCCCCACCTAAGCATCTCTAAAGTCCTGATGCCCGCCTCCCCCATGACATATAATTCTTATTATTCAAAAAGTGAGCTATTCACGTGGAGGAAGCCTAAAGGGCCATTAACTTGGTCTAAACAAGCTTCCAAAGAACATGACATCCATTAAAGAGAAAAATAAAAGAATGAAAGGACAGTTGAAGTACTGAGGAAGAAATCACTAGGAAATTATTTTTAAAAATAATATGAAGTGATATGAAAAAATAGCAAAACATATCATAGAAACTGAAATGTATAAATATGTCACAATACATATTTATATACTGCATATGAGGTCCCTAGAACCATAAGAAATGCAAACAATTTACTGTTAATAACACATTCTCTATTTGCTTCCCTTAAAAATCAAATTGCCCCTCCCCCCATGGGGCATGTGCCCCACAATGGGAACCACTGGTCTAGACCTAAGTTCAAATTGCAGGTCTTCCACCTAGAAGCTGTGTAATCTTAGGGAAGTTACTTAATCTCTCTGTACTTCAGTTAACTCATCTTTAAAATG